ATCTACAGTGTTGGGTGCTGTAACAATTGATCAGACGTTGGTCAGACCACGCCTTACGTTGTGAGGACAGCGACGATGTTTCATGACGGATGTCATGTGGTTGGTACTGCCTGCTGGTTACCGCTAATTAATAAGTCTGATTTCGAGGTTTCTGTTAGAAATGCCGCTGAGGTGGCGGACCGTTCGTTTAACTGCAGAAGACGGTGAACAACTGTCATGTCGACCGTGAACAACGGTCCCTTCGCAGTCTGCCGTTTCGTCAGTCTCTAGCCGTAGCTCGTCAGCTATTAGACCGTTGCGTTGGCGAACGGTGTGGCACGTGCAGATTTCCACCTCGCGGCACTGCGTGATCGGTGCACCGCTTTGCGCAGAGCGACGTGCCCGTGCTTCCCTTGGTCCCATTCTTGGTCGTTGACGGAAAGACGGTTACTGAATTTCGTTGCGAGTGAATGTTCTACCTCAGTGAAGGTACGGTGAACTCGAATGTTATTGAATTCGGATGAATACGCGAAGCCGCGCAAGTGCCTGTCCAGGTTTTGCTTGAAGGTAATGGCGTAAAACTAAATTACGTTTAATTTCTACAGATATTACCGAATGCACTTTGAGTATCACCAACTTTTTCGATTCTATAGTTAGTGACATGAGGAAGTTGAAAATTATTACGGTACTTAAATATGAACGTTTCGATCGACGTGACGACGATTGAAGTGTTGTTCTTCACGTAAACTCAAGAGTTTTGTTTTTATTCCCTTCAGTGATGTTAGAAATTCGGTTTATTTGATTATATTGTATGCTTTATTTTCGTGTAACGTTTCTATCATAGCCTCTAGAAAATTTCACCACTGCATACAGCAAAAATTGTATTCCTTTAATGGTGCTAACCCTTTTGTTAAAACGAATGCAGATCAACAGTCAATGCTGTCATGTACCAAGTAGAAGAGAATATATTGCTATTTCTGTAATTGGTATCTGAGTCATACAAACCTTCAGCAGTGGAATTGCCCAAAGTGGTGATGTCTGACCTTCTTGGAAGGGTAGCTTAGATGCACATTATGCATTGTTCAGCACTTCGAAATGTTTCAACGCTTTGTGTAATTTTTCTTTTATTACGTTGTTTGTTGAGGGTTCCTATACTCGCGAACTTTTCAGAAAATGCGAAACTCTTGAAACTTATTCTCAAACTTAGCTAGGTGTCGATCCTTAAATTCCTTATGAAACTGAAGATGCGGCTTAGAGGCAATGCGACGCTATTTGCGTAATCAGAAAATAACGTTTATAATACGTTCTTTATCAAATCTTTCCTTGCTGCATCCAATCACGATGGTCGTGATTTTCATGGTAACCAATCGAAAATGCCCTTGTTCGTCCAGGTATAGGACCGATTACGGACTAATGCTATAGCCTACTGTCAACCGTTTGTTGAGCGCCTTGTAGGCCATTCAAGCTTTAGTGACGTGCTTTCGTTAGATAGAATTTTTTCGAAAGTGATGCAGGTGACAGTACACTATTATTTTATAGTGTCGATTTCAACGGTGCTATCGCTTTGAATGATACTACCGTATTTCCGTCTATATTGTATGCGTGTGACCTGCTGGTGACCGTATGAATCCTTGGGCGGGACAACGACGAATTAGCATCTAGGGGTAATCTTTTTTCATGGATATCTCCAATGTGCTGCGAACTTTGTTTAGTGATCTCGAAACAGTGCGAACTTCAGTGATCTTAGCAGTTTTCAACAGTCATCCGATTGTTGGACATGTGATTCTCTAAATTACCGGAGTAAATGTAATTTTTCTCATGAGGTTTAGCCGGTTTTAAATTAAAATTGATGCACCTCTTCCCCCGGGGCGCAGTGAAACAGCGCGTGTGCTCTGAAATATTTCTTCTAAAGCCTGCGTAAGACAGCAGTTTTAACACCGCAGTGATGGATTGAAAGTGCAGCACATGACATTGAACATCGCGTAAGAGAAGGGCGCATTGAAGGTGCGGTTTTCTTGAGGTTCCTCTCCCTTTGGGCAGCCAGTCACCGTAGCCTGTCCACCACTACATATTTGTCGTAGGTAACCTTCATATCTGGAAATCGTTCCCCGGTTCTCAACCCGGGACACACCAGATGGCCAGAAACTAGGTATAACGGACTGGGAAAATATCATTCGAAAAATGACATAAAAATGGTCTGATAAGGAAAGAATTCAGTATTGGTCCGACGTGCTCCGCCGACCATCACCTTTAAGAATAAAGTTGTTTAAACGAGAATCTATTTTTGACAGTAAAATTATTGTGCATAGTGTATAAATATCGTATATGTTCTAGCTGCTTTTGTTTTTAGTGTCTTGCGTATAAGCGAAAATTGCCTCCGATGCCGGAATGTAACCTGAAATAGATGGCGCAGATTTCTGCTCATAGTCAGGCCCAAACGAGAGCAACTCGACGCTTAGGAGCTGGAATACTCAAACATGATAAACAGTGGGATTGTGTGTGACACAGTGGAACTGTGTATGCTACTCAACCATCATTCCTGCTTATGTGTAACCGTTCTGTACGTTCCCGTCAAAATGTTGTACGGATTCACTGAGCTTAATGATATTGGGTTGAAGAAACGGGTATATTTCCGCGCAAGGTTATGCGCGATTTTAAAGTTCGCGTTCAACTCAGTATTCCTCGACATACGTAAAATTGTTTTTTGATAATTGTTATGTTCAGTGGAAAAACATTCCTGTTTCTGTGGCTCTGATTGACGGTTGGAATGGTGGTGCTGTGTAACAGCAGCTACTGGCTGGTGATCATATTCTTGTCCAACCAAGGACACACGTTTGTTAAGCGATGCCTAAAAATGGTATGCAGGCAGCCAAGTGAGGTCTGCGCTGACGAAGAGTTGATTGAGCCTCAAATGGTTTTACGATGAATTCCTGCAGAAGGAAGGTGTATTCATTTGCGAATGGAATATACCACGGTTGGCAATCAGTGGTTTCGTTTTGAATTTGTGCTGCCCCTCTAGGGGTACATGCCAAGTTGACCTGTGTAGCACCAGACGTTGATCTGAATCAAATCAGCTAAAGTCATGCTGTGCCTTACTTTCGAAACTGCATTTTCTCCTTCATAGCTAAATTCATATTTTTAAACATTGTGCGACCAATTAAAGGAGCAAATGGTTTCGACGGGCTTAATCGAAAGTAAGTATTGCCCATGCCCGTCGCTTGGAAGCAGCTGTTCGCAACAGCTGGAGTCATTGCGAAGGAAATGCTATGTTTTGGTGCGAGTCAGAGCTGAGAGATTATTGTAATTGTATCGTTGAATTTTGTACCTGAACCTTCGCAGTAGAATGCATGGCGAGTAGAAGAAACAGGCCTGCTGTTTGACTGCTGATTGCCGATCAGCCACTCGAAGATGACCGTGAATCTACGGCGCAGGTTGCCGGATGACTTTTACTCCATTCGGCGGACCAGGAGACGTGAAATATGTTACAATAAGACGTTTTACAGTCGCAGCCCCTCTGCTCCACAGAATACAAATAAACCGATAAACACAACTGTAGAAATTGGGGCAGAGAAGTGTACGGTAAGATTGTTGTGGTACAAGATGTACATTGTTTATTGGCAGGCAATGTTTCCTGCTTATGGCATTTCTCGCTCAAACGCAGAATGACTGATGCCACTGTTGGAGTGAACCAGTTTGAGATCAAAGCATTTGTGTCCATGCTTACGTATAAAATGCCTTCTCTTCAGTTGGCTTGATCTGTCGGTATTCTTCATGGAATTCGCCGACAAGGTTCAATAATTAAAGCCAGAATACACCATTTGAACATATTGTGATTCTTATGAAGAAGCCTTGGAGTATCACGAACGTATCTTGTTTTTCAAAATAACCGTCCGTTTCCTGAGGTTGTTACGGATAGTGCCTGCTTTTCACTTTCTGAGAGCATTCTGCGAATATCTCGAGAAGTTAAAATTGGAAGAGTGCTGACATCGCGCGGTTGCTGATTTTCATAATTGCGTTGAATGCGCTGTTATCGAAATAACTTTGCTTATCACGTGGAACTGAATCCTCACTTTCAACCTTGTCAAGGTTGATTGAGATTGAGACGTTTGGACCATTGAACGATTGGCATTGACCGTGCGGAAATTCGCTGTATGAAGCAGAATGGCATCGAAGCGGCTTTCGATTTTCTGATGATCGTTCCTTGTTCGGTAACGATCGATCTCTGTACAGTTTTGCAGTTGCAGTAGCTTTTGGAAAGGAAAGAGCTGGAATGGCGAACGTGTTCTTTGGGCAAGTTAAAAGAGCATGAGGAACTACTGTTCACTACATGATTACACAACGGCTTCGGTCTAAAAGGCAGCTGATGGCACTTCATCAGCGAATTTATGTGTGTTCCGAGCTGCAGCGATTAATCCAGTCGCGACACCGGTGACAGTGCAATTTTTACCGTTTAAGGCTGCATGAATCCGTCTGATTGGCGGATTGAGTTCTTCAGTGCATCTCCCGTAGCATTACACGGTGCTGTAACATTTACACCGTTAGCGCTGAAGGTAGTCGATCTATCCCCATGCTTACCTGCGGTCAAGAGTCGAGAGTCATGAATGAAAAGCTGTACGAACCCGGGTACAAGCTGCTGAAATGGGCTTTCTTAGACGAGTCGCCGGAAGAGCCTTGGTGTTAAGCCTCTGCTTCTCCAGATTGAATGGTCACAGCTGCGATGGTTTGGGCACGTAATGCCTCCGGAAAGGAAGGCTAATCAACTGTTTCTTGCGAAGCCGATAGGCAGAAGGCCAAAGGGATGGCCAAGATTAACCTGGTGCAAGTATATGGAAGGAGTGAGTTGCGGACTCCGGTTGTCTTCTACCGAAGCTGAAACGTTTTCACACGATCCGGAACGTTGGAGGCACTATGACGCGTGTGCCTCCGCGACCGGAAAAGAGAAGCGGTCATGGACGATGATGATGATGATGATGCGTTGAATGTAAAAAATTCCTCAGCTTTCGAGCGATGCAACGTCAGAACCGTGAAGACTCTTCTTGACAGCTTTTACGCCGCAGGGTCAGTCTACCTCGCTCCAGTTTACGATGTTTCATCGGCAAAGGTATGATTTTTGCAGTTGTATTCCTGATAGATATGGATTCGTTCCCTGTTTGAGTAACAGTCATTTGTCTTCGCTTCTCGATCCATGGTGCAAGACAACGGTTAACAAGGACGATGCAAAAATCCTTTATTTGCCGCTGCATTTTGACGCCAGAGAACAAACAGCTTCATCATCAGGGCAATAGTATACAAATGAAACAGCTTGTTTCTCATAGTCAGACATAAATCTGGGTTACTATGCTGTGTAAGCTTTTTTAGCCTTACATAACGATTACAAACCACCAAAAACAACAGGCAGTGCGATGTTACGAGAAACAAGAATG